TATAGGAAAGGGAAGTCAAGTTGCAACCTATCGTCTCCGAGCGTTCATGCCCGGATCTATGTGTGTGGAAGCACAGGACCTGGCATCCTGGTTGCAGTTCAGCACACATCCTCTATGACTGGGGTAGGCAGGCCTCGCTACCGTTCTGTTTGGCCATGCGAGACAACAAACTGCTAGTTCCGGGACAGTTGCTCGCAGTGAGCGCTCCTCCTCGCCCCTACTTTGCAGGTGCTTTATAAGGTTTCGCGCACGGCACACCGAACTGAAAACCCTTTCAAAAATTCTGGGCTGCATGAAGTAGCCGTTCAGGCTTATCCTTCCCCTTATATAACGTAGTGGGCCGTGCAGTCGGAAGCGCCATGTACTTCATTGCCCGCAACAGCGATCCTCCTGTGTGATTGTCAGTTGCTTTGCTGGAACTCCCCTGGCAAGTAGGCGCACTTCCTCGTGCCTCGTTCTGCTTCTCTTGGAACCTTATAAACCCTAAACCCTAAACCCTAAACCCTCTTGAACTGTCTTCTTTGTCTTTTGGCTGCTTGCGTTTCACGATGTCCCTGCAAGGCTTTTGAAGTGCTTCGCACACGCGTCCACTCTGCGGAGAGAGCCGCCCTGATAAGTATGTTCCCTGATCAAGGCTCGGTGGCAACATGCACAGGAATCTGGGGGAATTAAAGGTTAACCATTGGGATTCTAAGGGGATTATACTACCCAAAAAGGTTAAAGGTTACCTACTCTACTACTAAGACATGCACAGGAGACGCAGACATAAGGGCAGCGCTGTACTCATCGCAGGCGGCTGCGGCCACGCCATCGGCACATTGGCGAGCAGAAGTTGCTGAAGCCTACTGCGTCGACAACACTGAACATGTTCTGGAAGAATAGTTTGGTCCATGAGTATAGCTGCACTTCAGATGTTCAGCACAATGGAGTCAAAGGAAATATAATGGGTTCATATGCTTTAGGGTCAGGCGTGAATGACATATGCTTTGTGTCATGCCGATCCAAAGGTGTTTGGGCTATGATCCGCAGCGGGAACTGGGCGGACACTGGACGAAATTTACTCGCTGAAGTTGGACATCCCTGGCAACGGTGCCCGTGTGATGCGGAGTTGTTGAAGCAAGAAACGATGCACTTTTTTGAATCGAACAGAAGGAAAATGCTGCTGCTGACATCCAGAGCTCTCAAGCACCATTGGAAATCACTCGTCGTAGAGATTACATTCCAACGAAGGGCCAAACAGCTTGCTGAATTCTGGTACCCTAGACATCTAAGCCCCTCTTCAAGTCTCATGAACCCTTCACTGCCCCCCCACATCCGAAGAATCCTCCCAACTCTGTCGGCTTCGGCCTTTCTTCAAGGCCAACAGGGCTTCAGGCTTTGGGCTCACGACACTGTTTTCAGTTTTTTTTTGGGGGTCGGGGCCAGGACTGGCGTCCGGGGGTACTGGAGTGGCAGGGAGTAGGGAGCAGTGGCAGAAAGACAGCGCTCTTTAGAATGCGTTCTGCGCACAGGGTCAACAAAGTTTCGATCCACTCCCCATTTTGCTGCGTATGAGGCTCTGTTCGCTGGAGTGCTTTGCCGAGATGCCAAGAATCGCCCCTGGCCGGGGAGTGGGAAATATGACCGAAAAATATGCAAGGCGCTGACCTCATTCTGCCCACTAAGCCCGACAAGGCACCACTTTCTCAAGAGTTGCATTTGGGGGGAGTCGCGAGATATCGTCCTTGGGTGTCCGAAGCGGTCTTGACAAGGGCTGGCGAAGCAGTACGGTTGGGGTCAGCAAATGTTTGCATCAGCCCCCTGTCTTCGTTTGCTCAGCTGCCATGGAGACTTTGAAGCTCCTGGGTTTAGGGTTTAGGGTTTAGGGTTTAGGGTTTAGGGGCCACTCTGCCAAGCAAGAGACGGATACAACTAAAAATGCAAATTTGCAGCCTGGGCAAAACCTTACCCTACTCAGACGCCACACTGTGAACGGAGACTTTATATTACACCTTAAGCAGGCCTAAATGGGGGTTGACGAAAATACCCCAAATAGTAGGAGTCCTTGACCCGAATATGGTACTCCTAATATCGTACACCCCCACAACGGTTTCAGGGGTTCCAGGTTTCTGACCCTAAACCCTAAACCCCAAACCCCAAACCCTAAACCGTAAACCCTAAACCCTAACCCCTAAACCCTAAACCCTAAACCCAAACCCTAAACCCTAAACCTTCAAATCCCCGGGGGGCGCACCGAGTCGAGACCTTGCTGGGCAAGAGCCAAGAGCAGCGGCAGCACCGCGGAAGCGGCAGCTGCTGACTCGCCTGAAGAGGCCGTAATATAGGGTTTAGGGTTTAGGGTTTAGAGTTTAGGGAAATTTGAATAGGGTGGTCTTTGTGCAATAGAACTAGAAAGGGACCACACGGCAATATGATTCACAATTATTCCGACCCCTCTATTCACCAAAAAAGCTCGGAATATCAGCGATTCCCAGCGCTGATGCTTTTGCCTTCAACTGGACATCACTTGGGTAAGCCTCGATGCCTATGACCAGAACTCACACCGAGTGAAACCTGCATCCAATCGAACCTCTCACCTGATGGACCCGATAGACCTCACCACTCACGAGATGCACAACAAGATTTGGGAAATGCTGAACGGGCGATCTGACCATATCACTTTACTGGAAGCTACGAGACAAAACATCCCAGAGCACGTCGGGGATTGGGAGGTTGAATCGTATTTGCAGTGAGAAGCTTGATGTTTGACCTCAAACAAGGAGGGTGACAGCACAACCGAATTTAACTATGTTCGGACAGCCTCAATTCGATTTCGACGTTTCTCCGCGTGGAGCACAAGCTGCCGCAAGGGGAGTTCCTACTACTTCCACTCACGTTGCAGGTGCAGGACGGCTGCAGACATCGAGGCTGCAAGAAACAAGGGCAGGTTCGCGTGGTGCATTTTGCCATGATGATGTCGATGACTCTGTTGTGGAGTATGGGCTGACGGCAAAGAGTTTGAGGTGGGCTCTGCACTCTGACGCCGCTTCCTTTGTGTGACAAACAATTGGCGAAAAGTTCTGGTTGGAACGATTCGCAGAACGCCAAGTGATTGGCTGGGCAAGCTGCCCAGAAAGAGTCACCAGGCTTTCACTTGACCTCCGTCCATCTCCTTTTAAAGGAGTTCTGTCTCCACTACACTGCGTGGCAGTGGGACAGGGACTTCGAAATACTTACCTGGGATCCGAGATTGTGGGCCTGTGGGCCTTCATCCATGAAGGGACAACCACTACTGGCTTCTTGCCCTCAATAGCCTGGGCCTAGCAAAGTTCAAAGTTCAAAGTCCTCGAGACAGAGCCAACAACTCCAAAATGCCCGATGTTCCACCAGCATTAGCCGGATTTGATCCCATGGCACCTTCAATCTCCGAGTCTCCCAAAGATAAAAGGAATATGAGGGCATCCTAATGCCGAAATGACCGTTCAGCACCTTGCTCGCACTTCTACCATCACACGGCTAATCGGAATCCGGCGCCATGCTTCAGGTGATTTTGGACGAATGATAAGCTAGTCACAGGGCTAGAAACAAAAGCCGCAGATGACCCGCACGAGCCCCTGAAAAGGGCCCCTGTAGGATGTATGCGAACACGGGCGCACACGGCCAGATGCTAGAGGTTCCAATTTGGTCTGCAAGATGTTGCAGCTGTACAGATGCCAGGCGTCCCCAAAAAAGACCTTACAAAGACCATGTTTGGGATTCCTGCGACGTTCCTACATGCATTTTTAGGGCTAGATCGTTCCCTCGAATCCTTGGCTCAAGGTCTTCGGAAGGTCAATGGCGAAGGCCCCTACCATGCTTAAAGCATGGATGGTTTGCCAACGGCATCCTGACACTCCCAAGAGCTGTCGGCTCGGTCCCCTCCCATTCGAGAAAGGACTGCAAAGGTGGCACAGTGGGCTGAAGGCCATGACGTCCCTGTCAACTAATTCTGATAAAACCGAGAGTCCTAGAGCTCAGAGACTTCAAGCTTCAAGGTCTCAGGAAACAGATCCGTCACTCGGCACACCAGCTTGATGCGCCTTTCTCCCCCCCCCCCCTGCCTCCTGCAGGAGACGCTGGAGTCAAATCGAGCCAGAGTCGCAAAGTCACTGTAGCCGCTAGCCGCAAACAGTCAAAGCAACAACCACTCATCTCTGAACCGCCCTTTTCCCCATAAACGACCCAATTAGAGCTAAAGAAGGCCTTCTTATGGGTGAGTTCTTGTAAACAGGGGTTTAAGATCTTGGGTCTTGGGAAGCATCGAGTTGTAGTGCTTGTTGGGTTTAGGGCTCAGGGCCCCGGGTCAAAGGCACCTGTCTGCCAACCCCAAGTAAACACAACCCCTGATTTAGACTCGAACCACCTTAAACTCCACACCTACACGCCGAGCTCGCTCCCTGTGGGGCAACAAAGTTGGGACATGAATGCTGGGCATCAAGCGGACCCCCAGTGAAGGCCCGAAGGCCCTGACAAGGCGAGCCCCACAAATTGCTCAGTATGTTGATGCTCGATGGTGCTCCAATCCCTAAACCCTAAACCCTAAACCCTGAACCCTAAACCCTATGAACCCTATGAACCCTATAAACCCTATAAACCCTTTAAACCCTTTAAACCCTTTAAACCCTTTAAACCCTTTAAACCCTTTAAACCCTTTAAACCCTTTAAACCCTTTAAGCCCCAAACGAGCGTTGAGTCTGCGCCTCTATGCCTGCGAGTTCGCGCAGAGCACCGTGGCAGACGACTTTTGTGCGTCTCTCCATCTCTCAGTCTTCCCGCGGAGCATGGAGCCGCCTGGGGTCTAGGGTTTAGGGTTTAGGGTTTAGGGTTTGGGGTTTGGGGTTTAGGGTTTAGGGTTTAGGGACTATATGTCCCTGAAGCACTGCGTGCGACTCAGGTGGTTGGGGTTCCAAGAGAGGCGAAGCATTTTGGGATCGGGCGCGGGGCTCCCACGGCCTGCAGCTCCTGCTGCATCTCCGGGATCC